TGTGTGTGTGGCCAGCTCAGCCCACCAGGGGGCAGGGCTGGCTGGCATGTGGTGCTGGGGGATTGAACCGTGGTCCCTGTGCTTTGCTGAGCTTGTTCTAAGTAGGTGTTTTAGACCACTGAGCCATTTCACCAGCCCTTTGATGCCTAATTTTAAATTCCTAGACAGACGTGATTGACACAGCTTGGGTCACATGCCCTAGATCAGTCAACTTTGGCTAAGCAACAGGTCATTGGATACTAAATATGACTACTGGGAGCCTTATGTATAAAAGGGGCATATTCTGAGAAGAGAGAAGAAAATAGACCCCATCCCACATACAGGAGAAGCAAATAAACACAGAAGAGATGTAGGGAGAACCCTCAGAGGATTTCAGCTCTTGGTCTGGTTGAGATCTAAAATGTCTCCCTGAAAGCTTTTATGTTCAGAGGTAGTGCTTTTAGAAGTTGGATCACAAGGACACTAGCTTCATTAGTGAGTCCTAATTTGATGGCATTAGTAGGAGTTAATAAGAGGCAAGGCCTATAAGAAGGAAGTGGAGCATGGGGCTGTGACCTTGGGGACTATATCTGGGCCCCAGCTCCTTCTCCTAGGGTTCTCTTACCCTCTCTGTTTCTTGGCTCCCATGAGATAAGCAGTTTGCTGCACCATGTCCTTCCATCATGACTTTGAACCTGACCACAGGCCTAGAAGCAAGAGAACCAATTGACCATGGACTGAACCATCTGAATCCACAAGCCAAAATAAATCCTTTAAATTCTTTTCCTCAGGTATTTTGACAAAAAGTAGACTAACACACCCACAGTCTCCACATGCCCTGCTGTCATCAGATGTTCATGAGATTGTATATGGAGCCTTATTATAAAATATATCCTTTGGAAAAAAATATTATTTAAGCTAATATAAATAGTTGTCTATTCCTGACAACCAAAACATGTTCTGCCTAAAATTCTAATACTCTTTCCCTCCAAAAAATTGTGTGGTTGTTATGTGCCAGACACTGCTCTGAACACCTGCCATGTGCTATGATTTGTCTAAAATGCCCCCTACCTCACGTGTTTGGGAGATACTTGGCTCATGGGATGCTGTACTCACTAACGGACCCAAGCAATGATGAATTCAGTAGCCGAATGTGCTCTAAGAGGTGGGCCTGGCTGGAGATGGGTCACTGGGGCCTGACCTGGAAAACTGCATTCTGAACACCAGATCCTTGCTCCTCTTTTTGCTTCCTGTCTA